ACTGGAAAGAGGGAAAGAAAGGAAGAAAGAAAGAAAGAAAGAAAGAAAGAAGGAAAGAAAGAAAGAAAGAAAGAAACGCGAAAGGGAAAGAAGAAAGAGAAAGAGGGAGGGGGATAAAACGGAGAAAGCCAGTGGGGGTGAGTACCTGGTGCGCTCGCGCACATCGTGGAGGGTGATAGCAGCGTGCGCGCAAAGTCCATCGCTGGAGAACCGAACGGGTGCCGGCGGGCGCGAGTATTGTGTCTCGTACACGTTCTTGCGCTCGTAGTCGGTGCTCGGCTCTAGGTTGGTGNTGGTGGTGGTGGTAGTGGTGGTGGTGGTGGTCGAAATAGTGGGGGAAGAATGTTGGAGGGTTGCTGAAGTTTCCCTAACGCTCGATGGCGTACCAGTGCAGATCGTGATTCTGTGGGACGTGCAGCGTCGCGGTGCTCAGCTGTCTTTAGCCTTTGCGTCGTCCGTCCGATCGGAACGGACACACGCACGACGGCGAGAGTGGCACGTAGACGGGACGTGGCGCACGTCTTGATCGGTTCACGCGATGTCATCGTGTGGATAAAAAAAAAAAAAAGAAAAATAAAATTGGCAAACGGGTGATCGTATCCATGTATAAGGCTAGGGATCGCGAGTAGTAGAGGGGCGCGTGATCGTCGTGTCAGGCCGACGTCGGCGTGTCGCGTGAAATTACGACAGAGAGGAAGGAAGGAAGGAAGGAAGGAAGGAAGGAAGGAAGAAAGGAAGGAAGAGGCGAGTAAAAAGAAAAAAAATACTGCCCGGAGGGAAGGATCTCCCGCGGCTGGAGACACCTCCTTGGCCCGCGTGTGTTTCGCAATTTTCAACGTCTGTTCCGTTCCTTTCTCCTCCTCCTCCCACCTCCCCCCCGTGTCTCGGCGTGTTCGCGCCTGAAACTGGACGGGGACTGGAACAGGTACCACTACGACACATCGTACAATATACCCGGGGAAAGAATTTTTCCAGAGGAGACACCGCGCGTTTCGCTTCGTGTGACAAAATTGTTCACGCGCTCCGATGGAAAATTCTACTTCCCTTTTGAATATGTTTTCTATGTTCACGAGAAAAAGAGAGAGAGAGAGAGAGAGGGAGGAAGGGAGGGAGGGGAGGTGGGAGAAGAGGGAAAGAGGACGAATGTGGGAGATGGGAGCAAGAGCTGGAAGAAAATTGCACGATGACAACTGGGGCGAATCCTTTTTCATTTCTCTCCTTTTTTTTGTCTTTTTTCCCTTTCTTCTTTTTTTTTCTCCTCTTTTCTTTTTTCTTTTTTTTTTTTTTTTTGATACGACCCATTGGAAAGTACCGCTCATTTTTCGCAGCGTAATTTTCTGCCCGCGCTAAAAGTGTGAACGCCCAGTCCCGCATTGTTCGACTTTTCACCCCTGGTAAATTAATGATTCGAATTCGTTTCCCTGCGCGACTCGTCCCGGCTTAATCGGGCGAAACTGTTGCGAGGTAGAACGCGATTCACAGCCTCGGCGTGCCATTCTCGATCGACCAGCGCCAATCGGATTTGGTGATTTTCACTTAACGTCGCGACACAAACGTTTCTCCCGTTTCACCCTCAACGGCAAATTCGAATTCGCGCCGATCCAATCGATCGATCAATTTTCGCCACCTAGAACCGGATCTCGCGAATAAAGAAGAAGAAGAAGAAGAAGAAGAAAAGAAACGTGTACGCGTTTTACTTTCTACCCTTCGCTTTTTTCCTCTTTTTACTCTCCTTAAAGAAAACGAAGATGAAATCAATCAATCTCGTTGTCGATAGTGATTCGTTGATTCCAATATCGATACATTCCAACGAAGTGTCGCGGCAGAGATAATTCGCGAAAGAAAAAAAGAAAAAAGAGATGGAAAATTTACGCTTCGCCCTACGTGTCATTTGAAATCGAAAAATGGACATTGGCGGATCGGGATGGTGGTGGCTCGTCCTCTCGGGAAAAATGTAAACGACGCGCGACACAAAAGCCCGCGAACCTTGTAAAAAATATATCTTCGTTGGAAACGAATGGAATTCGTTCTCTCGTTGGAGGACAATCGCGAGGGTCGGGAAGGAACGAAATAACGACGACCGTTGCACCGCCATGAACGAATGCTTCCGATTAG